ATACATTCTCTCTTCAATCAAGTAATATCAACTCCAAGCGTCCTTTACTATTTATCAAAAATACCTGAGTGTCATCAGTTACTTTATATCATTTTTAACAACTCTACCTGGATTACACTGGAGAAAATACACTACTTAGGTAAATATTGCTGCTTATGATGCAGAATTGCAATTACATATGCCGATCATTTCAACATTAGTGTTTTCTTTCAGTATCTTGCATTGATTGCAACGACTTCAACTGACATAGCACATCACTACAGGAAACTTTGGGTATGAGTACTTGAACTATTCTTACAGTAAACATTTTTGTTGTTGTTTATTTCGTCTTTAGAGTCGGGATATCAGTCACGATCACCGTCACCGTATAAATAATTTGAAGGATTTCGTATTATGTCTCTCATGGTTATATAATTTGTAGGGGAGTTGCTGTGAATAGACGTACAGTTATTAGGTGATTAATTGATGACATTCCAGACAAAATCAAACTGAACATTTTGGGCGTTGTCTCAAGCGGGCGCGCAATTAATCAAAATCATATTAGTCATGCTCCTCAAATGCCTGTTATCAAACCTACAATGCAGATCTGAAGATGGCTCTGTTGCTATTACTGATACTTAGTTGTACTATGTGTCAGCAAGTTCTCGGTAACTCTCGGAACAAGTAGATGATCAACTATTTTTTTATTAATTTCCATATTCAATATTCATCAACATCCCTACCATAAAATAACACATTGGGATTTACTTTTCATAATGTTGCCTTAATATCATATATTACCCAATGTCGACTATAATCTCAAACGAATCATTATTCTTTAAAACTATTATGTTAAATGACATCAAAATAATCCAGTCCTGGTCATGTACATATAAACCACTAGTTCAGTTCCTCAGGTAAAAATCTCCAGATGAATTGGCTGCACTCTTCCTGTGAAAGATCAAACACTTTTTCAAAGTCTTGTGATGATGGGCATATCATTAATTGGGAATATCAACTTACACAGTCACACCATCTTTCAACAGGCACTTTTGGAAAGACACTAGATATCTAGAAGTATAGAGATGGCTGTTATCTTAAATACTTCGAAAACATCACTGCACAAAACTCACATTGTTATGTTCTCTGCTGGATCCAAAAGTCCTATTCTGCAAACAGACAATGTTGGTGTCTCGCCCCTTTATCAGGAAATGGAGTAGTATATCATTTCTTTGTTCACGTTAAAGGTAAAAAATATATATATAGCTTACATTTGTACAGCCCGCAATGTTCAATTCCGTTAAGCATCCAATGCAGCTCGAACCCTGGAATAAAAAAAGACAAAATATAGTGACTGACGATTTTCCTTCAAATGTCTCCATGAWTCTACCTACCACGTCACAATTTTCAACTGGGGTATTCCTTGGAGAAATCCGGAGACATCTGTTGGCCTGGAATAACACGAAAATATATCAGAAAATTGACATGGAATTTACCCCGGCCCTTTATGTTTCAAAGTCTGGTGATTCAAGTCGAACATACAGTCATTTCAGACATAGAGAATCTTCAGTCCTAAACTTTTGATAAATATCGATTAGGTGTTATTGACATTGCAAAGAAGTTTTAGAACTTTACATTGAATATTCTTGCAAAGAAATTCCACATTGCCAGAAATTTCGAACCGATATGTTCTATTGGTTTCAGATTTTCATATTCTCGATGAAAATGTATAGCTGGTATAGGGCTATTTGTTCTTTTCTTAGATTGTGTGCTTTACATTCATGTATACTTCCTTCCCCAACTTTAGTTACACTGACCTAGTATGTTCTGAATTTAATTGGTAGTTAATATGGTTAATTTCTGTTACATTAAACAACTTCGTTTGCGATATCATAAGAGTTGATAAGATATTTTTTATTATGATTGACAGAGTACTGTACATAGAGCCTCATACCTTGCTATTTCCAAACAATTGACGTTAGAAATAAAAGTTGTATAACCCTATTTCCAGACGTTCGATCGAAGCCTCGAACATCATTCAAAACAACGACCCCTTTCCTTGTGAAATATTTGCAATAGTTGCCACGTTATTGATCGGAGCACTGAATTCTGTGTATGTCTGAAATTCTCTAGCCCGCATTATTGAAGCCCATTTATCGAAGGGAAAACCCCTTCCATCAAGTGATGTCATAGTCCAATGATGGTAACAATTGTTTAATTGACGTGTCAAAAACTGATAAATAATTAGCTCCGCCCCAAATGCTTCGGAATTTCTGGCAATGAAGAGCGATATATGCAAATGAATTTATTCCTATCTTTATGTCTTTACAACTAAACAGCGTTATTGGGATTGACTCTAGTTCGAGACAATTGTACAACACTGAAATCTATGAAATATATGTATAAAATTATAGAAATTCAATTGCAAATGCTTCATATAAACCTAACCCCATTAGCCCAWTAGCCCTATAAATTTGCATTTTCTCCGAGTCTGTATTCCCAGA